TCAAAAATACGTGCGGCATTGTACCTTTGCATATATGCTTCCTCATGACTTTGCCACGAAAGGGTTAAAGCAAAAATTTCAACCTTGTGGGAGAGGCTCAAGCTCGCAACTGTCATTGTTACTGAAGATGCTTGAGAGTGTCTTCAATTTTCCCACTCTTTTAATCTTGTAACCTACAAGACCAACATAAAGCTTGCAAAAGCTAAATTAACACCAAAAATTCCTGAGATGTGCTTACGACGTCAAGCATCTAAAGGAGAAAAGAAGCAGTTCTACTTCCGTGTCAGATGAGACGAGCTAAAAAATTTTACTGCAGTTACTGCTATGCGGATTACAGGATAGCAATTATCTTGGAAGCCTTCGCAAGCTAAAAAACGAATAGCCTCATCTTCCACACTTCAAATAGGATTATTTTCTAACACTCTAGTGCCTTCAAACCGGCTGGAACTTTGAAGAGATCCACAAGATCATAGTTCAAGCTTTTATCGAATTCCAGTTTTTGGATAAGTGCAACAAAAGCGGATCTTTTTTGGGTATCAATTTGGTTAACACAGCAGATCGGCTCGTTGACTGTGAATTACAGCGTTTTCGACCTGTAATTTTGACCAGCACTTCAAATACATGTTTTCAGTCGTGCTTTATACGGGGTGTCCCAAAAAATGAACACTGTATTATAGTTAAGATCTCTATTGCTTTCATGTTTTTCGTTTGAGCTATCATTCTGTAGAGCGACGTTCAACTTAGATTCAAAGTATAGAGCGAATCATCAATCACTTTCTCATTACTGAAGGATTACGGTGAGAACCACGAGAAGGATTTTGGTCTATTGAAAGCCATATTATGCCTTAAAAAGAAAAGCAAACAAGCCAGGAACTCTTGCACTGAGTTAACCGAAGTCGCTAATTCTAGACTGAAATCTATACTTCACTGTAATGCTGCTTTCTTGAGTTATTTCAGCTTTGGGGTTACTCTTGTTTTTCAATTTTTTTCAGAAAGATTAAACCATTAAAAAATCTCGAGAAACTGGTAAAAAGTTGTGCAGTGAAATCAGCAGGCCTGAATACCTTGATACACCCAGATTTTTGAAAATTTTTTATCAGAAGACCTTTCCACAGTGGCGCTGTATGCTGAAAGTTCATACCGTAACCCTACAATAACGAAGAGTGACTGGTGATCTGCTCCACACTGTAAACCTAAGTTGAACCTCGATCTACAGAACAATACCTCAAGCTTGGCGAAAGACATGAAAGCAGGAAAGTTATTAAGGACTAGCTTGCTTACCCGGCTCCGCTCGGCCCTGTCAAAACACTGTAATAAAGGTCCCATCTCTATCCCTGTACAGCCTTTCCCTGTGCTCACTTCTACGATTCATTTCTCGTTCCCTGTGTTGTTTTCGAAATCAGCATGCCCACTTACCCCCCCCCCCCTATGCCAACCCCCAGCCCTGTAGCTCGAACTTTGCAAAAATTCGATAAAATCGATATCGATCGATAAAAAGTAGCCTATTCGGTTCAGAAATCAAATTTTATTCCGCACATACTACGTACATACATACATACATACATACATACATACATACATACATACATACATACATACATACATACATACATACATACATACATACATACATACATACATACATACATACATACATACATACATACATACATACATACATTCATAATACATACAGACCTTTATATATTATATAAGATTACGCTGCGCTCACATTTCTTTGGACAGCCCGTATAAAACCGGGACTACCACTGGGTGTCCCAGGAGTTTTTTTAAGGGGGCGGGGTTTAGGGGGGGGGAGGGTGAGGGAGGGAGGAGAAGGGGGAATTAGAGGAAAAGGGCAGGAGCGCGACAAAAACTTTTCTTAGGTAAAGAGGACAGTCACCCCTTAAAGTTTTTTTTCCTTTTGGACATTCCCTATTTCTCAAGGGCCATAGAATTTGAAAAGGACAAACTCTCTCAAAGATAATTTTCACCAGTATCTGGATCATACAATTATTGGATTATTCTAATTGATTGAAGACAAGAACAATTTGTTTAGAAATTTATAACCTGTGTAGAGCACTGTCAAAGATTTTGTGTCTCAATCATGACGTGGGGGGAGATCTAGCTTTTTATTATTGTTGGAGATTTTTCAACAAAATTTTTTTTAGCAGTCCGTAACCTCCTCCAGGCTTGAATTTGTTTTAATATCATGAATTAGAAAGATAAAATTGTCATATCGCGGCAACAGACCTGTCGAAGGCAAACACACGCTGCGTTTTTCTAACTTTTGACCCCCAAAAATACTGGAAGTCCCTGAAATTTCTTTACTTTTTAATTCGTTTTCATAGTCTAAGCTCTAGCTTAGGTATATTTGGGTATAACCCCTTTCCACTCACGGAGCTGGACTTGAGCTTTTGGGGATGTTTTGATATTTTCTTTTTACTGTTCACGCCCTAAGTATTTTCGTTTTTTGTTTCAGATATGGCACACCTTGTGCTATTGAATAAATAAATAAATAAATATTTGCTGATATCACGTACTTGCGAGAGCTGTAAGATCCAGATTTTTTGCAGTTTGGTCGTTTGAAAAATTCACTAATACAGGGTGTCCCAAAAGTATGTATCGAACGTTTGATCGTTAATATCTCTCTTCCCAAGAAGTCTTTTGCCTTGCTTCAAGTACCATTTTGTAGAGCTAGCTTCAACTTAGATTTGCATTATAGAACGAATCACTCATTCCTCTTAATTACTGTAGGATTACGGTAGAAACTTCAAAGAGGGTTTTAAGCAATGAAAGGCCATATTTTGCCTTAGAAAGGAAATAAAACAGCCTGAAAGTTTTCACACTAGGCTAATTAGAGTTGCTGATTATAACTGTAAAGTTCCCAACTTATTATGATGCTTCATTGAGGAGTTATGCCAGGTAAGAGGTAGCGGCCATTTTTTCAATGTTCCTAAAAAGTGCGATTACACCGTTTAGAAAGCTTTGTAATCTTGTGAATAGTTGAGTATTGAACTCAGCATCCATAAAAACCCTATTACACAAGTTTTCACAATTTTTTGAAGAATTTTGGAACTGCAGCTTTTTCCACATTGACACCATATGTTTCAAGTTTCTACCGTAATCCTACAGTAATGAAGAAAGATGGGTGATTCGTTCTTTAATGCAAATCTAAGTTGAAGCCAGCTCTACAAAATGGTACTTGAAGCAAGGCAAAAGACTTTTTGGGAAGAGAGATATTAACGATCAAACGTTCGATACATACTTTTGGGACACCCTGTATATACCATAAAGTACTGCATATGATACAACAAAAAGGATTACAATTGAAAAGCTGCCCTGGGCATTGTTGAATGCATTTTTTGGAAATTTTGGTGCAAGGCTTTTTCCAACTTAATACATCCATGACAAATGGTTAAGATAAGTTGCATGGTTTTAAATAGGTGTATTTTCTAACTATGGAATTCTAAATAGGAATTTTTTAACTAATTTCGCTCCATGAAAATTTTTGCCAACCTTTTTATAAGGAACGCTTTCTTAACATCGAGTATGAAAATGTCAAGTGATTTCGCTGTCAAGACCGCATTCAGCCATTATTAGCACATGATTCACCACCCCCCCCCCCCCATTTCTACCCAAATTAGCACTTCAGACATGGGGGAGCGGTAACATGTGGTGTCCCTTAGCGAGCACTGAGAAAGTAAACAGGAAAACACCCTCAGCTGGAATAGGAGACCGATGATCGTCGACATCGACAACAGCTGGAGATCATGCATCAGCATTAACAAAGTGAGCCATGCAACTACCGTGTACGAAGCTGCTTTAAGAATTTACAGTCATATCGAAGATTAGAAAAATTCAGAAAGGTGATAAATATCGGCAAGCCTCACTTCTGAAAAAATGAGCTCGTGCAAGTTGCAGCTGAATTTCTTACTTCGGCGGATTCTTTTCTCTGGAATTACCTGTCTGATTTCAATTGAGCTCTATTTTGTTTTTTCGAAGTTTAAGCGCTCTCCTTGTTTAGCACGCTTTGGTATAGATTGCACAGATAAATAGCTTCTGTAGTTCTCTAGAAATGGCATATAACTTGCAGAGAAGTTGTTCAACAGGGTTTGTATCATATTAATAATAATATTATTATATTATTATTATCCAATTAACATCGTTTGAGTTTGCCCCAAGTTAGCTTTCCACGTAAATTTGCATCAAAAAATGTGTGTAATTTGCCAAGATTCATATTGCTGTTATAGTGTCCTATAGGGAATGTGGTCATCAATTTCGCCAGTAAAAAAATCGTCTTGATCTGCGACTTCCTCACTCTCATTTTATGGTACAGGTAGCTTCAAAACAAAAGAAATTTCGTTTCTCATACTTGCACTCCAATTTCTAGGAGTTTGGGTATAAAAGGATTTTCCCAAGGACTTCAATCCCAGGGACAATTCTATTCTTCGTCTAACGCATTTTCTGGCACAGGTTCTGAATCTAACAATAAGTTTGCTGTAAGATTTTGTGAAATAAAAACAAGCTTAAGCAGTATTCGATTCTTGTGGATGTCAAAAAAATCTAATTTACACAGCAAAAAAAGGAACACTTTTTGATGATGAAACTGTCACGATATTTCTTCCCGCTGCCAATTGCATGAATCGAGAAAAGCACTTATTGCACTTCGAAAAATTCATGGAAATGCTCAGAGACCTTTTATACAAATATTAGTATACTAATAATGTGGTGAAGATTATCACAGACATTTCAAGCACATTAGGCAATTATGCCCGTATTATGCTATTCAATTAGAAATCTCTAGCAGAAATTTTTGCTCTGGTTCAGCTTGTTTTTTATCTATTATCGCTGTCGGGTAATGAAAAGAAATGTAAAAGAACACATAAAAATGTCAATCGCTGTCTGTGAAAAACATTTTTTAAACTGCAGTTTTTGAACTTGTTCTGATGCCTTAAAAAATCTATCTTCAAAGAGTGAAGAATCGTCTGCGTGAATAAGCATATGTATTTATTATTCTCGTATTTGCATCGACTCACGCTACTTCTTTGCTACAGAAATGAGCATGGAAGAAAGAAAGACATGGCACAGAAGGATAGGCCAAAGAGATATTTGAAGCTATGTACAAATTGGGGCTTAGAGACAAGCCTAAAGCGTTGATATGATATCTCAAAAAGCCCGCGGGACTTTTGCATTTAGGCGTAGACTTTCACGTGACGTCGAATTCTGAGTTCGAGTTCATAAAGATGCTCATCTTGAACTTCTGGGAAGAGTAGGCGCACATGTTCAGCCAATTTCAGGACATACCTAAAGACGAATTTTACAGAATTTTTTCTGGATACTATTGGGTCGGAGGGGGAGGGGCAAACTCACTCAAAATTCGGACCCGCACATCCTTTAGCTCGTCGAATTTCAATGGCCATTTGCTCTAAGTCAGCATCACCGAGGTAGAGCTCGTTGTTCAAATCAGCTATGCAAGTCCAGGCAGTTATGGTTTTGCCAGATTCGGCCAATTCTACAGGGATTCTCACAAATTCATAACCATTATTGATCTGAAATTACGCGATTTTCATACTGATCAATAATAAGATCAACATTTGACAAACCTCTCTTTCCCAAAGATGGCCAAAAGCCTGTTTGATGTTTTCCTCTCCACGAACTTCGAAAATAATACCAGTGGCGCAAGAGTCCTCATCTTCAACAAGTGTAGCAACTCGTCCAGGCTGAAAAAATTGAAATTGACGTTGAAAATAGAAAAAAAAGTAGCTTTACCCCTCCTATTTTTTGAGAAAAAGTAATTTTTGAGTCCAGGTGAAAGTGATTGTTTGACTCTCGCTGAGGACAGCTGTACTTGCGTGCAAATTCTAGTGTAAATTTACGTAGGCCTATGTTGTCCACAATATCCTACCCTAACTCTTAAACTACGTGTCACTACTTCTGAAACCCGGAACTTCCGCAAGAATTAAGTTATCGAAGCTAAGCGAAAGCCGCTAATAACTGGATCGATAAGAGCATGGACACTCAGCTGATGCAACAAACACCACTATACGAAAAATTCTTTGGTCGAAATCGTTGCCCATACCGTGCGCGAGTAGCGAAAGATATAAAGAATAAAGTGAAAGAAATACTTACCAATTGCTTATCACCTCGATGATATGTGTTTCCTTGATACATTCTTCGAGCAAAGCCATGCGCATAACCTTTCTCCTTGCGATGGTAGGTGAAACCAGGATTCCAAATCAAGGAGCCATATCCGAAGAAGTAGGCAGAATCTTTAGAAGTCGATGCTTGGATTTCCATTTTTTAACTGAAAGCGGGAATTTTAGAAGTCACATTCGACACAAAAATGCGAACGAAAGGGTAAACTCGATAAAAAAACGCGATAAAGGCAAGGAACGAGAAATTTGAATTAGGAAGAACTTCTTGAACAACGAAGGAACAACAAAACTTTACAGTTAATGTTCGTTATCCACAGCTGTCCGAGAGTTTATATACACCCTCATGGGCGGCGCTCCCGTCATTCGCATTAGCTAAATACCAACAACGATTGCATCAGCCTGTCGACGTACGAACGAGCGAGGGCGCTAGAAAAAGAGACACTACGAAAGGGACAATAAAAAGCAGGGGGGGGGGGATTAGGCGGGTGGAGGTCACGCCCCACAGTCACAGCAAACTTTGCCTGGGGTACTTTTTGCGATTATATATGAAGTGTCATGGACAGGTTGCACTATGTGATGGATCTATGGATTAATGTGGGTGTCAAGCAGGAAAGCATGGAAATATTTGTGGGAGAGGGGGGGGGGAAGAGAAGGGAGACATAAATCTGTTATGCTATATGGAAAATCCGATTTACATAAAAGTTACCCTAAAGGGTGAAACAATAGTTAATAAAAGTAACAACTATTGAATTTCTAAACACTTAATTTTTTAAGGGGATACAGTCTCTATTTTGTTGTTTTTTTTGTTTTAGTGTGGGTTTGTTATGCAGCTCACACCGAATGAGGTATATTCGTGCTTATAACATTTCACAAATATTTGTCTGGTTGTTGACCAGTAAATTTTATGTTTGACCTCCTGAAGGTTTAGAAAAAATTGTTGGAAGAAAATTTTAGCAATATTCTATATTGATTTTGGCTCGGCAAGTGAATTCAATTACTACGATTAGGAAAATTTCGGAACTTGTTAGAATTCAAAAAACAACCTATATCTTCATCTTGGAAACTGTATTTTTAAACAAAATAAATTGGCTCTCGTACAGTAAATTGATTTACAAAAAAGTAGCCCAAATTTCCTGCCATTCAGATTCCCATTTTCCTATTTTTGGACTTCTTTGCGCTGTTAATTTTCATGGCAAATGCCATTGTTAGTTTGTTGCACCCCAGATTTTCAAAAAACAGAAAAATTTCTCAATCACCATAAATATCACACTTAAGATTGCAATAAGCAGCTCAATTTTTTTCATAAGCAGGAAACATTTAAGAGGATTCTTTATTGATTTGTTCAAGAAATGTTGATGTTCTAGTGATAATTAATTTGTACATAAGATTTATTCGCGAGAATGTGAAGTAGATATGAAAAAAAAAACCGCCCACGAAAGTTCTCAAAAACTCGCTCGTCTTTAACACATACTTCTTTCGCTCATTTCCTAGCTACAAACCTTTTTATCTAATCTTTTCATTTGCCACGCAGAATTTTCGATTAGCTAAAGTACAAATCCATTTACGTTTTATGTTCATAGAACCAGCAAACTAAAGTGCATATTTGTACCTGACATTTTCATGTATTGGGTCATCAGAGCTGAACAGATGTTCAAAAGTAAACTTCCGGTTATGGCCAGGTCAGAATTGACAAGGTAAACAAAGCCGGAACTTGATAAAGAATTTATTTGATCAACATTGTGGATCACATCAGAAGAAACTAATTTTGGTTCCTCGAATTTGATGAGGAAGATCGCGAATATCAAAAATCAAATTTTTCCTATCAGTGAGAAGGCTGAAGGAGCTCAGCATTCTATATTTTGTTCCTTGTATAATTTTCCTGCGCTTGAGAAAAGGGATGCAACAAAGCTTGTTGTTTCATTTTTCTGCTTCACTTTCCATTCGTTCAAGAAGGAGAATACCTCGCTATCCAATTTCGATTTATTAACCGACTCGCAGAAATGACGAGGAATTATTGGTTTGGGAAGTGTTCGTCATCCTGGCATTCATCATGATGTCACTTCTATCCTACTCATCAGGAGAAAGTTCAGCAATCCAGCAATTACATTTTGTATTGCCGTTTTCCCGCGGAAGGAAAAAAATTCTGTCCAATCCGATCAAATTTCCTTTCGTTGATGCGCATTGGTTCAGGGTAGAAGAGGATGCTTTAATTTGTAACTCTGCGAATTGCATTTCGGGGCCTTGAAGTTGAACAATGCTAATTAAACGCAGCATTTTTTGGAGATTCATTGTGATCGCTGTTGATTTAACTGAGACATGTTTCACTCCACAATTCGCCTCAGTCATGCTTCCGTACAAAAACACATTTCTCAAGGCCGTTGATGTCATAGAGAAAATTCTCGGAACTGGTTTAAGTACTTAAAGTATCAACGATCACCGCACTTCAAAAATAGGCGATGAATACTTGTTTGTGTTTATCCGGGCCGAGGGGGAATCCCCGAACAGAGAAAAGAACCGCCGCGCAAACATCGTTCACGTGCTCGCTCGACAGCAGTCTCTAGCCCCCCCCCCATCTCTAGTACGAACAAAAACGAAGAAGCTATCAACGAATGGCGCCAGCCGTTGGCAATGTTCCAATCTTTGGTCGCTATCACATTCAGATGCACAAAGCTAATCCCGACATGCACGTGATGCAGGGGGGGGAGAGCACCCGAACAACCCTCCGAAGCGACTTTACGATTTTTTTGAGCGAACTACTTACCCGTACACCCGAAGGAACACAAGTGCGGGGGTTGCACTCGAAAAGTGCAAAGAGGACAGCATTAAAGTGACATCAGCTGAATTTTCTCTTTCATGTAGCAAATTTCATTTACTATGGCGAAGGAGACAAGGAAAGGAGTTTCCAAAGAATAAATACGTTTTGATTTGGTTAGACTCTACTTAGCGGGGACCACAGAATATCTAGAAATTCTTGGCCTCAAGTGATTCACCCCAAAATTCTAGCTCGCTTCTTGCTATGAGATTCGCTAAACCTAGAGGCCACTAGATTAACAAAGAGATACATTTCGTCTGAAGGTACTTCAAAAGCTTATATCAGTATCCATTTTTTTGTTTCCATGAAGAGCAGAAAAGTGCTTCATTCGATTTCTTCCCCTTTTTAAAGCCGGAAAATCGAAACAAAGTCCTAAGACTATACTCCCTAATTGTAACAAAAGTTCTGCAATAGCTTCCGATCAAAGATTTTTTTACGTCGCAAACTTCAAAAAACCGTGTACCTTTGAGTTAAAATTTTTTGTTTAAGATTTTTAAGTGTTGTATTACTATTTGTAGCACAACTCTCTACCAACCAATGTGCAAATTAATTTTTGCTCACTTTTAAAGTTTCGAAGAATTCAAAAAAAGTTTGGAGCTTGACTTTTTGAAGAAGTTTTGGGACTGGATCTTTTGCCTTTCTTCAGAACCTACGAAGATAAAAGTTATGTAGGAAACCAGAAAAAAATACTTCCAGGTCGTTACAAAGTTTCTTGTGTAAATTTTTTCCTTTTTCGTTACAAACATTCTAAGAAGAGACGTGTAAGGCTATAATAATGAATGTTACAACCCAATAAGAAATCATTTTTTTGGGTGTTTTTATGAGAGACTAGCTGGCTTACCCGGTTCCGCCGTATGTTCCGAATAGAAAATTCCATTTCTTAACCGATCCGGACCAAACTTGGCACACATACACTTCGGGCCCCGGCGGGTGTCATAGTCCACTTTTCGTTATCGATCGATGTCGATTTTATCGATTTTTTGCAAAATTTGAGCTAGGAGGCTGGAATTTGGCAGAGGGGTGTAATCGAGCATGCTGATCACCCCCACGGGGGAAGTAGCCTATGACACCCGCCGGGCCCGAAGTGTATGTGTGCCAAGTTTGGTCCGGATCGGTTCAGAAATGGAATTTTCTATTCGGAACATACGTACAGACAGACATACAGACAGACATACAGACAGACAGACAAACACACATTCAGCTTTATACGTAAGATGTATTAGTAGTCACAGAGAAAATGATTATTGCTTAATCGTTGTTTACGCGTCAATTGATTTATAAGTACTTTAAGCAGAAACTTTCCGTTCACCTTCCACATATGTAGAGTAGACTTTTTATAAGTTCCCCAATTCGGAATTACAGGATGTCCAAAAAATGCTTTTTTGGAATAAAATATTTCTCTTTCCCGTGAGATTTTTCGCCAATCCTAATGTACCATTCTATACAGCTGGTTTCAACTTATTATTAGATTTTTTAGAATAAATATGTATTGATCGTTCATCGTAGGATACGGTGGAAACTTTCAGTTTGAAGGCGTTATTGCTATCAGCAATTCCAGATTTCCAAAACATTTGGGATTTTGGTACAATAAAGGTGGGCGGTAGAAAGTTCGACTTGAGAAGTTCTTCTGAGGAAGTCTCAGTTTAACTGGGCTGAGTGGTATTTTACTACTTGCCAACGTGTTCACAAATTACGTTGAAGAACTTGCATTTCACCCCTACATTTGGATTAGAACTACTATCACAAAAGCTTTTTTTTGAAAAGAAAACCTTCAATAATTATATTGATGTAAAATGGATGATTCGAGAGAGGATGTAGTTCGAATTTAGCAGGAAAGAAAGAAGCAAAGGACGTCGCTTGTAATGTGTGTTCTCGAGTCAACTCGTCTTGAAAGCATCTAAGTTTTTAGAAATGTTTTCGAATTGATTATGCCCAGGCATTGAGTCGCATTGTAGAGCCTGCTTTGCTTTACCTAGGTGCATGTGCGCGTGTACTCAAAACAAAGAAGAAACTTAGTCAAAAGTCAATGTGCGACCGACGCAATCCTTATATTAGGGTAAATCGAACTCTTGAAACACTATCCTAACTATGAAATTTGTTTGCATTTCGCAGCGACACTATCAATAGCGTGTATTATTCGCCCAACTCACAAAGGGATTAGACTCTAAAACAATCCTTTTGCAGACTTAAAACCTAGCAGGAGCTCTCAATTTTTACCTTCTCGCTCGTCTTTTCACTTATTTGGTGCTAAGATAAGGAGGAAGAAACAAATAAGCCTTTGGATACAACAACAGCCGGTTGCGAATCCGCGCTTCGTCTGGCTCATCTCTACAAAAGAAGTTACGAGCAGTTTTTATGGGATATCATAAACAAAAAACAAAGCATATATACGTTTACAATTAGTGTACGAACCCTCAAATTGATTAAGTTGGTTGTTGGCACGAAGAGGTTCAGCTTTGCATTTTGCGCATATTTTTAATGAAATTGCACATATGCTTCTCTACAAGAAGCTGTATACTATTGGATTAGTCTCAAAACGCTGATTCCAGACATCTGTTCTAGTTGCCAACCGACTGTCTGGGAGGAGTTATGAGCGTTCAAACATCAGCACTTTTTCGAATTTCAACTAATATATTTCCTTGGAAGGCAGCCTGATGGCACGGATTTACAGTGGCTGTGGCTATTTTAACTACAAGAAAGAATCACATTTACCAGCGAGTAGATAAGTGTTTTTGAAACCTATTTCTTGAAACATAGGTCACAAAACACTTGACAAAACGCTCGACATTTAAACACTCATAACTCCTCCCAGATAGTTGCTTGGCACATAACAGACATATAATTTTGATCAGGGCTTCAAAACGAGTCCAATGTTATACAGCATGTTTGGTATGGCTGGATTAAGTTCTGACCATTCCTTGATAAGTTATCGCGTGTTGTTCTCAATTAAATTTTTGATTTTGAGACTTGTGTATGAATCTTGGTGTTATTCACATGGACGTTCTATAATCTTCTCTTAAAACACTTTTCATGCTGATTCTTATTTAAAAAGAGGATTCACTTAACAGACAGCATTACAAAGTATAAATCTTTATATGAGGTATCAGTGAAGTGGCAGCGCACCAAATCAGTTTGGTCTATCGTTCCATGCTTTTTCGAAGTATGCGCTGCGAAAATACTTCAATGATTTTCTTCTATATCAGCCCTTATTCTATTAGAATTACTTGCAAGCAGAACAGTCAAGTTTCTGGGCTGTAATGAGGCCATCAGTTGTTGAACATCGCGGTACATGAGAGTCGAGGTGGCGAGCGATTGTTGTGTTGAATGCATAGGCAGGAGCCCAGCCTTGCTGGAAAATGACAGTTAAGATTTTCTGCTTGCATGGAACAACGTTTTCCCTAGTTTCTCCGTGACATGAGAATTTTCGTCTTTAAGTGACGATTTTTGTCTATACTATGACTCTATGAAAAGCAGTCGTGTGGTTCCTGTTTGTTTTAAGCTCATTTGAAAATGGTTCAACCCTTGTTGGTTTGAACGAGAGAGACCTGCCAAGAATATCCTAACCCCAGTATTATCTTCTAAATTCGGGCATCATACGGACTATCCTAGATGGCGCTTATTTCAAAGATTACAGAAACCTCTTCCCCACAAACTGGCTAGCGAGCAAGAGCAATCCGTAAACGATGAGCACAAAGCATTATGAATTCTACAAAAGGAAATGAATTTGAATTATGAATAAAAAAAATCAATGGATGTTGTTAGCAGGCAAATGTCAGAGAGACGAGAAATGAACTTCAGAAAGCGCCAAAACTTCTCAGCCGCTGATCCAGTGCATGCAGTGTTTGAAAAAGGTTATCTAATCTGGTTTTTTTTTGCGCTTCCCTTTGTGTAAACTATTTTTGCATTGTTGCTTGAGTAGAATGTCCACACTTTTGCTTACATTTCTGCAATAGGTTGACTAATTCCAAGTCTGTGGAACTTTCTTCTCAAAAACAAGATTGCAAGCGCGCTAAATTTTGGGTAACCTTCAGAAAATGAGATCAGATCTTTCTGTATTCCTATAAAGTTGTGAAAAAGTAAATCCGAATACTAGAGTTTGATTTATGAGAAATAAAGCCAAAATCTTGAAAAAAAATATGCGATCCATACAACATGACTTTCTATGTTTATTAGCAAGTTATAAATTTTAAAAGAAGTTCAGAATGTATTATTGGTATCACTTCTCAAGCAGATGTGGATGTATATTTTGATTATATTCCGTTAGCCATTCTAGTGCATATAACGCATATCTGCAATGATTGTTGTTAATGGAACTCAGCGGCGAGCATAATCGATTAGAAGCTATAAAAGGAAAGTTTTCAATGGATACGATAGTCACACAACGATGAGCAGCCGAAAGCGTAGTGGGCTGAGAAATCTCCTACAAATAATGCATACCATGTGTTAGGTTGCTTCATGAGTTTTTTGAATTTTGATTTTACTGCAGTAGGTCATACAGTTCTTGTTTCTTGGGAAGCAGGGCACTATCCGATAGAGCAAATCAAACTCTATAAGATACATGTAAGCGTTCGCAGCAGCTTCAGCTAGAAGCCATTCATTTCGAGCTAGAAGCCAAAATTTGAGGAGGGATGCCTGAACAACTAAGAAAATTTCATATTCTCGTTCAAACCAAATTTACCGAATCTTCCGCACGCTCATGCACACACACACTTCCCATTAAACATTTTGCATGCCATTACTGTATTTCTTTCTGTGCTAGAAACCGAGAAAACTGAAATTTTCCAACTTTCAAAAAAACAGTTTGTGTTGTTTTCACATAAGTAAATGTATACTACAAGTCTGTAGAAATACAATAGCAGATTTGCAGTTTTCTATAAGATCTGACTGACGGAAAATATTGGTTTGTACATATAAGATTCTAGCAAGAAATGCTAAATTTGTTATTTCTTGAAAACTAGCTCTTTTAGGAAGCTGGTAATTTACGGTTATATTCCCAAAGACATGCTATATACATCTACTTATGAAACAGTACAGCGTCGCTTTTTTGAAACCTTGACAATCTCAATTTTTTACATTTTCTAACCCAGAAATAAATACAGCAATTGCATATATTAATGTCTCATGTGAAGAGTATATGCACGGGAGAGGGAAGTCCGGTAAGATTATTTTGTATAAAGATATAAATTTTTTATTTTTTGGGCATTCGAATCTTTAAGTTTTAAATTCTAACTTTAGCTGCACTGATGTCTGTGAATATCTCCAACCCTCTCATAAAGCTTGCTTTGCTCTATCGAACGGTATCCCGCATCCAATTAGGGTTAAGAAATGACTTATTTGTGATAAAAATTCAAAACTGAAAAAAAAAAATCAGAGACAACTTAATGCATATTGTCCTATCCAGGAGGAAAAGCTATATATCATTGGTTGAGAAAATAGCAATATTCTGGAATCCATAGGCTTTTGGTAATGGGTGTCGCGAACAACATTCTAGCAGCATTTTGATAAAAAAATTGTAATATTAGGTAGTTCCGAAAGTAATGTCGCATTTTTTTCAAACGTACGCCACATTTCGTGGAACAAAGATGTGTAAGAGATTTTGGCAGCATTTGATGCAGCATTTCATTCTCTTTCTAATAGTTATGAAGTTGTTGCAACACAGTCAATGAGCTTCCAGAAAAGAGTCAAAATCTGCGGCCTATGCTTTTTAAGATGGCCAAGTTTCACAATTTTTCTAAAATTTTATAACAAACCTCAGAAGGAGCCCAAGTAATGGATGGATGGAGCAAACCATACAGGAAACAGCACAACTTTTTTCTACTTTTCAGAGCTCGTCATAATTTCTGTATAGATTTTTTGATAGAAGCACCGAATTTTAGCAGGCTCGTCTCAGACACAAATGCATCAAACACCAAGAAAACGTCGGATTTTGAAACTTACAAAAATGGATTATGGTTTTACACTAACTTTACAAAGCGAATGAGCGTTTACCGCTTCAGATTAGCAACTTTCGAAAATTCCGGGTACAGCCGGAGGCGCCCTGGAAAACCTGAATTATGATGATTTTATCTCGGAAAACTTGATGAATCGGAAACCAAAAACAACTGGTAAAAAGAGGAGAAAAAGCTGCACCGAATGACACCCGGTTGCTTACCGGTTGTTGTTCTGTGAGGTTTGAGTTGACCAAATATGGAGTTTGATGGCATTTTAAAACTGATTCCGGAAACTCTAAGAAGCAAGCTAAGGAAAAGAAAAAATTACTCTGTGTTCTGTAGTGTTTGCCCTATCTACCTGCCGCTTGCACTTTTTCGAAGATTGAGTAAAAAAATTTAGAAAAATAGCCGAACTTAACCATGGCAAAAAGCATGAGTTGCAGATTTTGTTAATTTTCGAAAGCTCAATGAAAATTATGCAATGAGGTTACAACCTTTAGAAAGAGGATGAAATGCTGCATCGAATGCTCCCAAGATTTCTTGAAATACTGATTCCACGAATAATGGCGTTCATTCGAAAAAAGCGACATTACTTTCGGAACGACCTAATAGAAATCGAGGACGCACAGTATTTGAATATGCATTAGTGAATCTGCACATTTCGTAATCTTCTAAGAAAAACATTCCTTCGCAATTTATCATCACATTATTCAAATGCATTTGCCACGTCGTTATATTGTCCTAGGTCTGATCAGCGCTATAAAACACTTGATAAGATGGAAGTTTTGTCATTATGAAACTTCTTCTCTTGTTTCTCGCCTTCATCACCCTAAGCAGTGCTGCAAGCAATGATAATGCGTCAAGTCCCTTCTGCACTAAGGGATGCCCATACTTAAAGAGCATGGATAAAGACCCGAAAGTCAAGATTGATTCCAAGGTTTGTTTATCTCGCTCCATCTTCATTGTTTATTAGATTCTATTTTGAGAAAATTGAAGAAAAGTGCAAGACCGACCCCAAAATACCGTATTTACTTTGTTTTGAACACAACCTGAAGGTCTTCAAGGTTTGTGAGGCATCTTTAGTTCCACTTTCAAGATCTGTATTCTAGATAATGGGCAAATACACATGGGCAGAGATCTGCAAGTCGGTATGCGGCAATTAGCTATCTCAAGCGAAAAACCCTTTCCCTTACGATTGAAATAAACATTCGGTTTGAATACGTGATTTTTTACGTATCAAGTGACAAGGGTAAACGATGTCGAACTGAAGTTGGTGGCATGCTTTACAGGTTTCTGCCACATACCTTTTGCTGCTTACTATATACAGGGTGTCCCAAAAAATGTGAACACTGTTTGATCGTTATTAACTCCATTGCTTTCATGTCTTTCGCCAAGCTTGAGGCACCATTTTGTAGAGCGAGGTTCAACTTAGATTTATAGCATGAAGCAAATCACGATCACTCTTCTTTACTGTAGGATTACGTTAACAACTTCTAGCATGTGGACCCATTGTAAAATATGCCATTCCATGAAATTTTTTCCAAAAAATCTGAAGTCGTGTACTAGGGTTTTTGCGCACGCTGATTTCACTGCACAACTTATTACGAGTGTTCTTAGCTTTTTTGACGGTGTAATCACATTCTTGACAAATGCTACTCCACAACTGGCAGAACAAATGTTTTACAGATTTTCAAGAGAAGTTTAGGATCTGAAGATTGTACACTGCGCATTATCGCATACAATATTCGAGTTCCTTGAGAGGCAATTTCGTCTATTTGACACGAGTATCTCAGTCTAGAATCTGTGAGAACTCCCAGGTCTTTGACCAGGAATTTACATTCGAGGTCAAAGCTGCTATCAATTGAATGGTAAGGGGTTCTGCCAATGGGAACAGTACAACTTTTGGAGTAATTTACTTTGATGTTCCATCTATCTGCCCAATCAATCATTCGAGAAATTGAGCTACGAAGTGCTGCATGAGCATTCCCCTTGTCGCGCTGGTCATAGACGATATATATTAGGTTGGAAACTAAGTTTTGCAACTGGTCTCATAACTTCCCTCTCACTCAACATGGTGCACTCAAATTTTGCCACTGCTTTTGTTATTACATAAGCTACGAGCGCAGCTGCTGTCCTACCAAATTCTGACGTCGCAGTGAGGGTTACGGTAGGTGTATGGTATAAAGGGAAAAAATTCAGAATTTGACGGATTTGGCTGAAACTTGGCATAGGGGTGTTATCCGACATGCTGATCACGAAAACGATAGTGAAATTATGTGATAAGGACTTTTTTGTAGCATTACTGTAGGTGTACGATATGAGGTCTCACCCTAAACAAGGAAAAAGGCGTTAATTCAACAAATGAATATGATATTCGCGCTCGGCAGGTCAAATAACCTTACTGTGTAAAGTCTCGGCGGAATTTAGGTTTCGGACTCTTCAGTCATTGACGGTCGTTCCAGCAGCTCTTGCGTACAACGACTCGTTCGACTTTGTGAGGACGCCAGATCTCGACATGCCCCTGAATTTTATTTCTTTCTTACTAAGCCAAAGGAGTCAACCTCCAGCAATAATTCGTAGACGAATCCGGATTACTGCGCATGGTCTAAACTGCTGAAGGCTTCATTTTAGCTTGGAACCTCAAAAATTCTCAAATTTCACTAGTTTTTGAAAAATGCCCAAAACTTTTCTATTTCGTTTTCAAAATTCAAGCGGTTTGTGCGCACTTGTAGCACACATTACTCTCTACATAATGCCAAAATTTGAGTGCGCCATGTTGAGTGAGAGGGAAGTTATGAGACCAGTTGCAAAACTTAGTTTCCAGCCTAATATTTTAACATCATCAGCGTACGCAGCCACTCTAACTCGTGGATCTGTGATAAGACAGGCTGGCAGTTAATGGTATAAATAATAATCGGTGGCAGAATACTGCCTTGAGGAACTCCAGATTTACAAGATCTAGCCGCAAAAATTCTGTCGAGTACACGAACAGAGAAGGTTCTGTCCTGAAGATAGGATTCGAATCATCTCAGTAGTAAAGCTCTCACTCCCAAGCTCTCCAGCTTAGACAAAAGAAGATTGTGATCAACTGTGTCGAATGCCTTATCAGGTCAAAATAGACTACATCTATAGACTTATTCAGACTCAATCCTTCCGTCCAATCAAATTGGACGTCAAGAAGTTGTGTACCGGTAGATGGGCCTTGCAAAAATCCATGTTGTTGCTCAGGCAGACAATTTAGTTTATCAAGCCAATGCAACAAATTTCTAACAATCATTTTTTCTGATATAAGGAATCGGGAGTATACTTATTGGTCTATAGTCAAAGAGCTTGGGATTGAGAGATGTCTTGGGGAGAGGAGTAACAATGGCGGATTTCCAAAGGTGAGGCACTTCTGCATTCATCAAGGATATATTATAGATGTGAGTTAATGGAAGTACTAATTCGTCAGCAACATCTTGTAAAAGATAGGATGTTGTCAGATGTGATAGACAACGTTGGGCTTACTTTTTTCAAAAGTTTCCGTATGGACGAAGGGTCTATCCTTGGTAAAGGGCAACAACCCAAGGATTCATCAATATGGGACATGATGCAAAAGGTTCTGAGAACACGGAGGAAAACTGATCTGCCAAAGCTTCAGCTTTGGAGATGGAAGTATTGTATGCATTGCCATTAAAGTCTTCCAAAGGACCAAAGAATTTGTCTTTCAAGTGTTTTTTCAGATAGGCCCAAAGATTACATTTGCCAGCATTTCTGAGCATTCTCTTTTCCTTCTGTTTCAAGTAACGCCTCAAATGCCTTGATAACTCCTTAGAAACAATTTTGTACTCTGTATTGTTTAGGGGATCATTAAGACTCAAAAACAGTCTAATTCCCTGCATCCAAAAATTTTTTATATGCTGAGGATGACGTAGAAAGAAAGGGCTTCTTTTCTTTATGGGAACGTATTTTTCAATCAAGTCGTGTATTATATTGAGAAAGCGATTGTAAAGATCATCAACAGGGTTGAGCAAGAGGTTAGGCACAGGTCCTTCAAAACGACCCCCCCCCCCCCCTGTGAAAGCCCCTAAACGACCCTCCACTTCACCTCCAAGTCCTCAGGGTGTTATATTTTGAAGAAGACCAGTCTTCACTACAGGTTTCTATTTTTTGAAAGCCTGTAAGCCCGATCTCTGCGATTGCACAACCACATGCAACTTGACGGCAAGTTTTAGATCTAGATAGTCTTCTTTCAGAGCTGTAATTATCACAGGGGTAGAGTGTTTGGCTCCAAATTTTCAATATAGCAAGTAGAGGCTTTGCGCTCAATACTCATATCAAAAAAGGGGCGATTTTTGAATTTTGAAGGCAAGTTAAGAGGGTCAGGCGCAACCCCTCAAAAGCTCAGGCGGCCTGACCTTTTGAGGGATTGCGCCTGACCCCATTAACTTTATTTCCGAAGAAGCTTTTCTACCCAAGTTTTATGTGATTCGCTGGCTCAATCCTCGAAGATTCTACAGTAAGTGTTTGAGCTTGATTCGACTTGTTTCGGCCTTGTGCTAATCCGAGGAGTGGAAGCACTCAACGTGAAAAACGCGCCGGTTGGAACTTCGGCAGCACTTCTTACTTGACTGTTTGAAAGCGATATGAAGCCCGATTTGTAGCATAGACTTGTAGAGAACATTACTTTGTTATGAGAATACAAAAGCTGACTTTTCTCACTTCTGAAACCAAGTTGATCACGTTTGAAAATCACGCTTTTTAAACGTTGAGAAAAACTAGAAACTGCAGTAGGTAATGGTTTGTAGAGCGCATAGAGGTAATTTGACATGCTGATTATGGAAATGATACCCATTTCACACAGCAAGCTTCCTTGTTTACCTCATATGTCAAGGTAAATAAGAAGAAGATTTTAATTTTGGCTAAAACTTCCATTGTGTAAACAATCGTATGCTGTTTATGACCGTCATTCCTTCATGTAATCGCGATATTCACCGGACCAACGCATTTCTTTTTCACCTTCGCAGTATCTCACCAACTTAACAAATTCGATTCTTAATTACGACCCCTCCCCTCAGTCTTACCCTCAATACGATTCCCCAGGTCGGGCGCGCCTGACCCCACGCTCAACCCTGATCATCAATGTTGGAGTATCCATCAAACACGCTAAACCAATCAATATTTGACAATGCATCTTTTATGGATCTCAAGTCAGCTTTAGAGTAGTCGCGTATAGACGAATGCTCAGATATATCGTCATGACCAGTAGACAAGGCTATATTGAAAGACACTATATTATGATCAGAGCTTGCCAAGGGGGGTTTCGAGTAGACATAGCTAAGGTTTCCAAAATGCCAATAAGTTGTTCATAAAGACAGACGTTTGACTGGGTGGCCGGTAGAGCAGTACGAATCGGTAAAATTATCGGCACCAAAGATAAGGTCAAAAGGAATCAGGTTCGTTGACACAAAGTGCCTCTGCTCGATAGCACGAAAAACGAGATCATATCGGATCGTTACACGTACTCCTCCTCTTCTTTTTTTTGCGATCATTACGCAAAATTTTGTACGGAAGATCGCTCAAAATCTCTGCATCATTAATAAAACTACTAAACCATGATTCCGTCACAAAGACCATAGCCGATTTCTGAGTATGGAGTAGATGATGGAAATTAACAAGTTTGTTCACTTAACTTCTAGCATTCAGTAAAAGACAAGTAACCGAGGAAGAGTTTGAGCACGTAATCAGTTTTTTTGCAGGCTTGCTTTGATGCTGGGAATGTCTGAGGCCTTCACAACTTCGTCTCTATAGACTACGAAGACCTTGCCCCCACCGTGCTCTTTGCTATTTAGCTCCCTCGCTTGCTGACGCAGGGCCCGGTCGTGATCTCTTTCCTCGCGGGTCATAGACCTGCGGATGTAGATCTGATCACACGGCACTGTAGTAGAACTGCTGCGAAGGAAAGACACACTTGATCAGGCGCGGCCTGCTGCCCCCCGGTCTCCCCATCCTATAGATCTCTAGTGGTCTAGTTTTAATGTCCATTTTATCTAAAATGGACATCACTGAACTTTCAGTATGTGCCTGACGTTGAGACGCGAGAGCGTCATTCAATTCCGGCACTCCTGAAATTACAATAGACCGAGACCTTTTGTCTTGCTCGATGAGATCACCGGGGGCCGGC